GTATAGGGTTTGGGGTTTAGGGTATAGGGTTGGGGTTTAGGGTATAGGGTTTAGGGTTTAGGGTTTAGGGTTTAGGGTTTAGGGGTTTAGGATTTAGGCTCTCCGCCAGATCATCCTGACACGCACGTCAGTTTCAGCCGATCTTGGTTCCAGGCGTTCAGTTCGCAGCAAAAAAAAGTTGGCTGATGTAGGGGCCTTAATAATTCGAATAGGGTTTGGGGCTCCTTTGTACTATAATTATAACCAGGAACCCCAAAAATAGTATAGGTAATTATTTAGGCCCTTACATTAAATTTCTAAGCCGACCCTCTGAAACACCGACCACTAGGACCCCAAGTGCCCTCACGGACCTAATGTATACCACTTTGTCGGTATTAGGACCCTTTTGGGAATCACTAACCCGAAACCCTAAACCCTGAGCCCTAAACCCTAAACCCTGAACCCTTTTGGGAATCACTGAGCTTCCTGGCCTTCGACTTCGGAGGGATACACCTAGAGCTCCCGTAGGGAGGCCTGGGCGCCACAGAGAAAGGGGCCAGGGTCGATAAGTTGAGGGTTTAGGGGTTTAAGTTTTTTTTGAGCTCCTTTTTAGGGGTTTATGGTTTAGGGTTTAGGTTTAGGGGTTTTGGGGTTTAGGGGTTTAGGGGTTTAGGGTTTAGGATTTCGGGTTTCGGGGTTTAGGGTTTCGGGGTTTAGGGTTTAGGGGACCATATACCTGGTCATACCCTACCCCTTGTTTAAGGTATATACCTAGTTTTATGGTTAGGATCTGTGATAAAGAAAAGTACGTACACGAAAAGGGGTAGGGCATGAGCCTATATATATATATATATATATATGTGTGTGTACATAGCTACATGCTCCCTTGGGTATATAATGCCTTCTTTGGGCAGCATACTTTCTTATGATCCCTAAACCCTAAACCCTAAAACCCTAGACCCTAAAACCATAAAGCCCGAAACCCTAAACCCTGAACATGCACACTCAACCCCCTAACCATGAGGCCCTAAACCCCAAGACACAGAACAGACTCACCACGGGTTTAGGGTTTAGGGTCTCCTGAAACCCGCCTTATAATGAAGGCCACCAAGGTAGGGACATCCCTATGAACTGCGTGTGCTTATGTCCTTTTTGGGTTCCTTATCATTTAACAACAAAAACACTGCAAACCTGGAGCACAAAGCCCGAACGGCCCTGGAAGGCTGATTTAAAGTTTAGGGCAAAGTTTAGGGCTTTCGATAAGGGCTCTATGAGTCTATGCGGGTTGAGAGCTAATGAGAAACATCCACTTTTTAACATGTATAATAGGGTCTGTAGTTGTTTGAGATGGATTCCGGGGCAACTTATAGCACAAGTATCCCTAAACCCTCCTGGGACACTAGCACCACTACCTATGGAGACCTGTATATGGGTAGTTCTCTACATTGGTGTCCCTCTTTAGGTCTTCCCATATAGTACGGCACCCTTCTGAAAAGCACCCCAGAAGGGAACCTAATTCAGAGAACTACACATTTTACCGCGGCGTCTTGTAGTTTCTTGCAAGTAATACCTCCCTCGATCGGCTCAGGGCTTCAGGGTTTACGAGTTTACATAGTTTCATGGGCGTTCTTACGCCCTAGACCCCTAAACCATCCTAAACCCCAGAACCCCTAAACCCTAGACCCCAAAACCCCCAAAACCGCTAAACCCTAAACCTTAAACCCTAAGTAAACCCCCGTCTTGGGTTTTGGGTATGGGGCCTCCGGGTGAGCTAGCCTGTTTATAGCTGGAGCTTGCAGGGACCCCGGCTGGTACACCCAAGGGTTGACGCGGCTCACTCAGTGTATTGTTATGCATCATGATGGATTATCTTAGATTACATTATATTATATTGTAGTATTATTATGTTATGCTTCTTTAAACTTTACTTGTATGATATTTTACAACATCTTACCCTATGTCTTTGGGTTTCCGGGCTTAGGAGCCTGACCCAGAACTCTGAACAAGCCCTTAAAAGGTTGCCAAAGACAGCAAGGCGCGTCTCCGGCCAAAGTCCGTGGACGCTGGGCTCCGCATGATGGTAAAGGCCGCTGCCCATCCCAGTCTCCTTCGCGACTTAATATAGAAATGGTTTACGGTTTGCGGTTTAAGGTTTCGCGTAATATAGAAGCCTAAATAATTACCAAAAATATCAGTGAGGGTTCCTTATTTTTATAGTACGGTAAAGGG